TAAACTTCTCTCTCTCACCAACAGAAGTTGGTCCAATAAAAGATATGGCTTCATCCACCCTGTTTTTCAAAATTTGAAAGGGCAAAGATTGGATTTAGTTTGGCTGTTGTGAACCTGTGTGCCTCTCCTGTTTAATATTTTACAGATCCCCAAAGTCTGCTAGGGGCTTTATGGAAATCTTAGAAAGACACAGTCCTTGCTCTGAAGTTTGCGCCTCAAATTGTAGATGATAAACAGTTGGGGGGAATAGGACGAGGAAGGGCCATCTTTTCATCACGTGATCAGTGTGGTTACTCACTTTATGCTTACGCTGGTTCAGATAATTATTTTATATAGAAATAGTGCAGATGATGTAATGCGCTCCCTCGGTATAGGCATGGTGGAAAATGAGGAACTGTTTTATGGAACCATTCACCCCGTCCTAACAAATAATAGCCCTGACTGTAAGATTGCTCTGCTGGCCCTGTTCAGGAGTCTGCTTCCTTTCAAACTCTCCTAATTATTTACTGCATTTAGATTATGGTAATTAGATTGTGTGACTGAAATGATGTAATTACTGTAGTTCTGCTGCCACAATTTTGTTAAGCAGGGATCTAAAACTGAGGCTGAATGAAGTCCTGCTAAGCTCTCCTCTCTCCTGGTGAGCACAATATCCGCTACAGGAAAGATAACAATCATCGTTTTAGCTTTCATAGACAAGTCAGTTGTTCTGAATATATGCGGCAGGGAGGAGTTAGTATGTGCTGGTGTATTGGCAGATGGAATTCTAGAATTTGTTTCCAACTCTGCCATTGACTTGGTGTGTGTGAATTAAGGCAAGTCTGTATTCCATTCTGTGCCTCAGTTTCCCTGTCTGTAAAAAAGAGGGTAATAATAGCGACCTCGCAGAGATGTTGTGAGGCTTAATATAAATGGTATTTTGGTCCCTAGTTGACAAGCCCTGCAGAAGTGCAAAGAGTACTGTGCTGAAGCTCTTTAGGGATGGACTTGGATATACACTGTAATAAAACTGCTTTGATCATCCATGAATCCGGACACTTCAGTAAAGGCTAAGCCAGTGTCTAAGGCCCATGATGCATCAAAGCACTTAAGAATGTGCTTACTTGCTTTACTGAATCCAGGTCTGAAACAGGAATATACATTTTGCTTTTAATGTTCACTTTTTTATTACACATCCCTGTCAAGATTATATAAATAGATAGATACATGTTACTGAGAGCACCCTGGATTACTAAAATTGAAAGAATCTTTACAAAGCAATTTGTTGTTTGTTGTTCCCGATTTATACTATTCGTTTACTTTCTTGCACATAAAACTAGACTGGTTGGTTTTATTTTCGGTTTATAGTCAGTTTTACTTCAAGGTTCTCATGCACAAATCCAGTGCTGATAATTTTGTTTTCCAGCTGGTAAATGTTTGAAGGTAATGAAACAAATAACATCTCCCCCCTCCAACCTCCTCTTTGTATTTAAAATATGTAATGAAAAGCCTGAAAACCTTGTTTTGCAAAACCATTTTCACAGAAAAGCTAGTTCTTGGACATAGCCTACTTGTCAGTATACCTTTAATGTGCTAGCTATTACCAGAATGGGAGAGAGATGGGCTTGAAAGTAATTTAAGGCATTTATAAAAACTTTTTAAAGAGAAAACATCTGAGGATGGGCAAATTTCAGATCAGGGTTGAAAACCAGCATGGAAAACAGCTCAGGAACAGAAGTGTCTTCACAGCCTTGAGGAAATGAGCTGAGCTATCATGGGTCGTTGTGCTAGACATTGATTGCATTCCTTTGTTGGCCCTATCAGGTTCTGCAGAATTTAAGGGCCTAGTCCTCTAAAAACGTAACATGAAGAATAGGGTCTGATTGTATGATACCCCTTCTCATTGGGTAGTACCGTATTCCATAGACAGTCCCACTGAAATTAATCGGGCTAATCCCAGCGTTAAGGTACTGGTTAGCGTGAGTAGGGATATATCTCAGGCTGGCCCATAGAGTTTACTAAAGTGAGTTGCCTCAATGACCTTGATTGGATTATGCTCAGTAGCAAAATTTTGCATGATTGGGCCTATTTTTTTTTTTAGTTTAGATTATCCACATGTGGCTAGATGCAGTGCTCTCTTCCTGAGTCTGCAGACAGACTGACACTATAGCTCTCAGAGGCGAGTGAGTTTCATTTACTGCAATGGCTGTCTGTTGGCTCTGAAGCCTGATGATCACTTAAGTGTCAGCGGTCAGAACTATTTCCCTGCTGGTTGTCTTAGCAGAAACGTTACATTCTTCAGGGAGTGCATTTAGCTCTAACAGAACTTGAGTAGAGCACCTTTGCTGGTTTTGTTTTTATTGCTCAGCTACGCCTGTGGCAAAGCTGGGAGCATCTTGGTTCGGGGGCTTTTTTGTTCTTTGGACTTTTCCGAAGTTGGCACCTGACCTGTCATGCCCATTACTTCTGAAAGAGCTGGAGGGAACGGCAGAGGTTGAGTGCTAGTGAGCGGGGAACCTGAGCAAGGTTTGCAGGTCGCTTCAGGTAAGCGCTCACAAGTCTGAGTGCTTGCTGGAACGATCTGAACCTCTTCCGTTAGTGGACGTGGCACAAGGTGAAGAGCAAAGCACCTGTGGGTTCTAATCCTGCCACTGACAATGACTCGCTGTATGATACTGGGCAGGTCACAGCACAGTGGATTAAATTCAGCACTCATGGAAGTGGGAACAACTCCTGTTGACTTCAAAGGGAGCTTTACCCATCGATGCCAGGGGTGATTTTGTGCTTTGTGCCTCGGATTCCTCTTCTGTAACAATAGGGGTGATAACACCTCTCTCTGTCACTGGGCTGATAAGATTTCATTCATATTCCTTGAATGGCAGGCTCTGGGCAGCACTGGATACAGTCGTGTTATTTGTTGCTGTACAGTTTGCAAAATTGGGCTGGAAACTTCCTGGTAACCGGCTTTCTTGAGCGACTTCTGTTATTTCCCGTTCCTGGCTGGGTTGGCAGTGCCGTGAGAGTCTCGTGGTATTTCCATGTTTCCAATTCCAGCCCTGCTGAAATCAGTGAGCAGAGAGGCGGCTGCCAAAGTGAGGCTTCTTGGAGACTGGAATGAGTTTGCTTTCTTCAGAGTTAACCTTTTTGAAGCCAGAAGCCTGACCGCCAGGTGCTCTATGTGCTGAGCATCTGCCCAAGAACTCTGGTGGCTTTTGTGGTGCCTGACCTCCAGAAAGCTTCACTTTGCGTTTTGGCTGAAAGTTCAGGTTGGCTTGTATTTCATTTGAAGCACCTTGGCTCATCGCTAACACGCGGGTGCACACAGCACGTGGCCGGTGGTAGGTGACGTGCACTGAAAAGCACAGTCTGAGATCTGAGTGTTACTGAGCAGCAAGGAGGTTTGAAAGTCCAGTGGGCTAACGGGGGAGGGAGCCTGACTCGGTGTTTCTTAGGGCTCGTCTGTGTGACGCATTAGTCCGAGCCAGCAGGGTGTAAGTCCTGGTGCGCACTAACGTGTCGTGCACAAAGTGTCGGTGTGGTCCCTGTTGCTGCACACTAAAAGGTCCCTAGTGCACGTTAGTATAGTTCCATTTCAAACAGTATTACATTAATGTGCCCCAGGGAACTTTCAGTGTGCACCAGCAGCGTCCTCATGGACACAGTGCTCACTAGAATTTACACCCCTCTGCTGTGGACTAATGCACCATATAGATAAGCCGTTATTTTCCAAACTCCCACGTTATTTTTCTAGGCCTCTCCCTAATCTCCCCCATTAACCTGTTCTTTAAAAAGGTCCAAATGCAACTTTTCCCCCCTTCCTTGGACCCCCGGCTGCAAGCAAGGCTGGTGACAGGGATTGTCTGACTTTGATCTTCCATACTTTGACCCCATTAGTAGCTTTCATTTGCATCGGTTGCATTAATTCCTGCTTGAACTCCATTTCATGCAAGTTGGGGCCTGCTAGATGCATTGCTGCTGCCTCGGTCCAGGCCTGGTACCCTGGAGGAAGAGCTTCAGGGGGAGGGGAATGAACTTGTCTCACTGCCTGTAACCATCTGCTGCTCTCCCGCTCCTCACCTGGTAGGGAAGTGGTGCAGGAAGTCACCCTTCAACATGCCTGAGTCCAGTAAAGGTACCAGTAAAGGAAGTTCCTTATTCTGGATTTCATCTAGCTCTGGGGTGATTATTATTAAGTTTCAGTCCCAGTGAAGTGTGTGGGTTTACAGCTGTTAGTGCGAGGACTGAGTTAGGCTTTTTGACTTCTTTGTTTTCTTATACTGAGACTAAAGTCCAGTTGGTCCCCTTACTTCTGAGTCTTGGCTGCATCTCTTACAAGCCAGATGCAAAGAGCCGCACAAAGGAAGCCATTTGCAGTGCACAACAACAGCAAGTTTGACTGTTCCTACAAAAGCCAGGAGCTATGCTACACGCCCTCAAGCACCATCTACTAGTGCTTTATCTATTAACTCTTTGCATATAGTGAGCACTGCCCTAACACCACCAGGGAAAAGCAATTCTCCATTTTTCATAGGAGTGATTTCCTCCCTGAGGAGAGGTAGAAAATGAGCTACCTTGGGCCTCATAGGCTCTTTGAGCATCTGCCAAGGTTCTTTCTGCTGCCCTTTATTACTGTTCTTAGTGCTACTTCTGCAAAGCAGCATACACGCAGTAACTACCTACCCTAATATCCTTCCAACACTGCTCTGAGGTTGGCAGTAAGTAGTTTTATTTCTGACTCTCCTCCTGTGACGGGGGAAACAGACACAGGTGGGTTCTTAATAATACGCACAACGAGGCAGATACTGGGCTGAAATTGAATTGTTTATGAATAACTCCCCTCTTCAGCTGCAGAGGCGGGTCAGTGTTCCAGATGTGTAAGTAACCACTGTGGCTCCAGTCCTTGTCTATGTCCTGTATAAATAGGTAACCTGAATGATGGTACTGGATCTTCTAGTTTTAATACACTTTCCTAGTAATCTGGCTTCACATCACACCAAGTCCTGTTTTCCTTCAATTTGCAGGCTCACCTTTGCACAAGCAGGGTCCCACCTCCACTGCCAGCACCGAGAAGCCAGGATCAAAGGTCACTGAGGTGGGCGATGACTTCCTGGGAGACTTCGTGGTGGGCGAACGTGTCTGGGTGAACGGAGTGAAGCCAGGCGTGATCCAGTATCTTGGGGAGACCCAGTTCGCCCCCGGCCAGTGGGCAGGGGTTGTTCTGGATGACCCGGTGGGTAAGAATGACGGCTCCGTTGGTGGCGTACGTTACTTTGAGTGCCAGCCGCTGCAGGGGATTTTTACACGGCCCTCCAAGCTGACCCGCCAGCCCGTGGCGGAGGGCTCGGGCAGCGATGCCCATTCTGTGGAGTCCCTGACAACTCAGAACTTGTCGTTGCACTCAGGGACGGCTACACCGCCTCTCTCCACTCGTGTCATCCCCCTGAGGGAGAGCGTCCTGAACAACACCATGAAAACCGGAAATGAATCTGGATCTAACCTGTCAGACAGCGGGTCAGTGAAAAAGGGCGATAAAGACTTACGGCTTGGAGATCGTGTCCTGGTGAGTCTGATATCCGTTCAATGGTCCCACTAGAATGGGCAGGTCCTGCTGTGAAGTGCTTGCAATCCAACTAGAGACAAGGGAAGGTAAGGACCCAGCAAACAGGTAGTGAGAAACGGAGAACAGGCGTTACAAATATCAGACAATGAGATCACTTGATTTTGCAGGCATTAGGGGATTTTATAGACATTACATTATTTTGCACTCCTGGTTTATTCCCACGTGCAAGAACAGGGCGAGGGGCAGACAGCTGCGGGGAGGGGAGAGGGGGAGGGAAGGTTTGGGAGAGAACAGGATGCTGGCAGGAGGTTGAGGGTGGGTGATGGGAAGGGGTGAGAGAAGGAGTGGAGGTGAGGAACAGGAGAGCAAACGAGGGCAGAGCTGCGAAATAGAGAGATGAAGAAGGTTTACTCTTTTCTAATCCAGGTGATACATTGAGAGCTGATGAGGTTTGTGGTGCCTTTGCTGAATCTGCCCCCAAGGCTACCAGTTGTCTTGTCACATGTGGTCAAAGCTCTCACACAACATTTGCCAGGAAGCTCTCGGAGCGAATGTTACTCCTTAGTGCCTCAGTTTCGGGGCGCTCAACTGGAGAGACCCAGTATCTCTTTTTCAAAGAGGCAGGGAACCCACAGCTCCTATTGACTTCTGCTCGATTTATGTTGGCTCAGCATGGCTGAAAATAAGGCACAAAGATTTCAGGATGGACACCCGAGAGCAGTGGCCACTTTTCAAAAGGGTGGCCATAATTTTTGGAGGGCCATTCTTGTTTGCTCTCCCCCCTGCTCTACAGGTGGTTGTAACAGCCTCACCTGAGCACCTTCCCGCAGGGCGTTAAACAGCGTGACCCAGCATCTGTTACGTGAAGTTTGTCCTTCCTCCACTCCTTAGGGTGAGAATTGTGCGTTGATGTAGCGGGTTTACATTTTGGGGATTTTTTTTTAAGAGTACCGCTGCTCTCTGTTTATATCTGAGAAGGCAGGTCGCAGAAGGCCGTACTCTTGGAGCAAAAGTTGGTGAGGTTTGACGGTCTTTAGAGAATTAATTCCAAAGTCTGGGACCAAACCTGAAGGCAGTACTGACTCCTGCACTCACCAGCATTACTCCAATGGTGGAAAGTTGCCTTTTGCCAGGGCAGTGAAGTTGCTGACCACAGGCCTCATTCTGGAGCTGTAGGCAATTTTTTTAGGCCCCTGGTATTGAATGCCTTGAAGACAAAGCGTTGAGATCCTGAACTTACAGAACTAGACGCCTTGAACCAGACACAGCTTTAATCACCCTTGCTGAAATTTGACTAGCCCAATGGTATGTTCCAACAGTCGCGTAATAAATTGGCAGGATCGCTGGTCACCAGCTACTCCCATAGGCAGGCCGAATGGATTCTCCAGCTAGTTTATTTTTGTTCTGTATGTCTACAATTGAAAATCCAACGTCTTTAAATCTAAAAAAGCTCAGTTGGGCTAAAAGTGGTCGTTTGTCGTTCTAGGTTAAACCAGTTGCATCATGGTAATGAGCACTTTGCTTTAATAGATGCCTAAAGGGGGAAAGAATAAAATGAAATCAACAGTATTGTTCTAGTGAGTTTGAATGTTATGGTTCATTTTAACTCTGGAGACAGGTCTTACTTGTTTCCTTGGGCAGCGGGGAGGGGCAATAAGCATTTACCATGATACCAAACGTCAGGAAGAATTAGTCAATGGAACACAAAATCTTCCGTGACTGTATCCCCTTGCAACGCTACTAGAATCAAAAGATAAAGGTAATTTTAACAGACAAACATGACAGGTTCCAAAGTGGTTGGTCTGGGTAAGTCCTAGGCAATCTCTTTACCATTTTACAGTTTCCGCTACTGCATTCGAGCTGTCTGCTTTTTCTACCTTTTGACACCTGGTTGCTATGGTGATGGTTGCACTAGACAAGCTAGATAGACAGATCTGCCTGGGCAATAGTGCAGTAGCATCCAATGTTTTCAGTTCTCCGCTAAGCTGGTATAGACCATTTCAGGGTGAGTAGGAGGATGAATCTGGAAAAATTGACTTCAGGACTTAGCTAGGAACAATGCTCCCAAGTGCCTAGTGAGTAGGGGCTAAACATCTTTCTAAGCCAGTGTTGATTTCTGACCTGAAAAGGCTTGTCTGCAGAAGAGCTGGGTGAGCTATTCATAGCAAATGATTTATTAGATAAACAAAGCCCTCTTTGCTGTGTCCGAATTATCTGCCAGCAGTCATTGTGTTTCTTAATTGGTTCGTCATTCACAATGACACGCTGATGTTTTATGCAAACGTAGCTCAGATATGAGTCGCTTGTGGACTACTCGCTGCAGCTACGGGCTTTGAGTATTGGCTGGTCACGTTAAGTGCTCACCTAAGTCGTTTGGCATTATGTATGCTTCCCAAGTGGCTGGTTGAAATGTTTATAGATCAGAGGAGAAGCTATTGAGGAAGGAACAGTCCTGCACTGGATTTATAAAAAAAGGGCCGGGAGAGACTGGACTAAGTCAATGGGGCTGCCTAAGTCCCCAGTTCAGAACAGCCCTGGTGCACACGCTTAAGTCCATTCCGATTCCGTACAGCACGTGCATCTCATTAACTTCATGTGCTTAAGTGCTGTCCTACATAGGAATGCTTTCCTGAGCAAGGGCCTAAGGCCGGGTCTATCTAGAAACTTTGCCAGTATTTATGTCTGTCGGGGTGTGACTTTGATTTTTGATTTATTTATTTATTTATTTTTAGATGTTTTTACACCAGCAAACACCCTAGCGGAGGCGCAGTTATACCAGCCTAAAAGTGCTTTTGCCAGCAGAGCTGATTTTGCTCTGGGAATCACTATAAGTTCTATTGACAAAAATACTGGTATAAGCGGCAGTTACGCTAGGTGGGTTCGCTGGCATAGCTATACCAGTATAGCTCCAGCAAACCTTTTCTAGTGTAGACCTGGCCTAACTCATTTTCAAGTTGGCCATGCGAACACTGGCACAAAGACAGTTTTGCACAAGTATTCAGAAGACTTTAGCTGTCTGTGATCATTCTTCTGGGTTGAAAACAATTCCCTTGTAACTGAGTTGCAAATACCACTGAAGTAAATGTGCAGATTTTTATCCAACCAAATCTCTGCCCATTACTTTTTTTTTTTTTTAAATACAGCATTCACCTGCCTTTTGTTTCTGCCATTTCTCTTGTAGTTCAGACCTTGCCAGAAAAGGCTTCTTTTACCAGTCATCTCAGTTCTCATTCTCTCTCCTTCTGCATCACTATCTTATTTTAACAGGGTTTGAAAAGAATTTCACAAAGCCTTTGTATTGGCTGCTTCAGTATCCCCTTGATTTGCGTTCCCTTGAGTTGATTTCTTTCTGTCTTGTATTTAGTCTCTCAAATACCTGCCATAAAGACCTGGCTGTTGATCCCAAGTGGTTTGCAATTCATCTTCCCAAACTAGTTCTTCTGAGACCTGCATACTGCCCTCCATCCATATTAACATCAATGGAAGTTCCCTGACGCTCATCAAGAGCAAAGTATGGTCCTTAATCTTAGCAATTAGTAAGGGAATAGCCTTGGTAAATCATCTAGGTTATGCCCCTGCCCATGCGGGATGGTTGTCTCCCCAGTACCTGCTAGAGAACTGGGAAGTTGCAGAAACTCCAGTTAAGTGAGTGTATCATAGGCTGTTTGGCGAGGGCCTGCTCTTGTAAGAATTCCCTTCCAGTACTCAGCACCTCCTCCTCATTAGATCAGGACTGACAGTGCAAACTCATCAAGTGTTTTGAGCAGTCCAGAGACGTCCCTGTCTGGTGGGTCACTCCGTGTGAAACCACGCTGACGTCTTTCCCCGGCTGCAGAAGCTGTTTCCTCACCTCCTGAGAACTTTTGGCAGAATTCTCCCGTGTAGTCACAAATTACGATGGCCTGGCCCCTGCTGTCTGGCTTGCCTGCATCAGAGTAGGAGGTGCAGTGAGCAGGATGCATGGCTCTGACTCACTGCTGTCTGCACCCACTCAATCAACTACTTTGTGTTTTAAAAAAAATACAGGTTGGGGGCTGGCAGTATTTATTTATTTTTGAGAGACTAGAAACTGAATTCCCCAGGACCCTGGTGCTCAGTGCATGTCTGCTCAGACCACCGGGCTGGCAATTTTTTACTCACTGCAGTCGAACTAACACAGCAGTTCCTCTGATGGCAGCATTTGGGAGAGTTCATCCCAAGTTGAGAACTATTCTGTTTGTGTTCAGTGGTCTCAGGGTACATCTACACTACAGGGGGGAGTCGATTTAAGATACGCAAATTCAGCTACGTGAATAGCGTAGCTGAATTCGACGTATCGCAGCCGACTTACCCCGTTGTGAGGACGGCGGCAAAATCGACTTCTGCGGCTTTCTGTCGGCGGCACTTACTCCCACCTCCGCTGGTGGAGTAAGAGCGCCGATTCGGGGATTGGTTGGGACGCAATAAATCGATCCCCGAGAGGTCGATTTCTACCCGCTGATTCAGGCGGGTAGTGTAGACCTAGCCTCAGAGAGCAGAAACCTTCCCTAAGTCCTCTGCTAGGGATAACCTGCCACTTTGGGAAGTCCCCAGCAGGCACTGAGCCAGTGGACCCAGTTCCTTTGCCTCTCTCCCCACAGCTTCTTGGAGACCGTGGCCTGAGAGCCGCGAGAGAGCAGCTCCCAGTCCATGCCAAGGCTGGGGTTGGGGCAGAGAATCGTGGAGCTGTAAAAGGCTCCCTGAAAGGCTGCGCACGGGCACATCTCAATGAAAGTTGGGCGCAGCAGAGAATCTGCCCCAAGGATTTTAAAATGTGTTGCGGCCAAATGTTAAGCGACTGTCACTGTAAATATGCTTCCAAAACTAGAAATAGGCTCAGATACCAGAAAACTGCTGGCCTGTCCAGTCACTTTTTTTTTCCATTTAAAAAGTTCATTATTTAAAATATTTTTTTTAAACAATATTTAATCGGGGAGAAAACATGATGGTGGGTGCTCGAATCCAAAGCGTGGGAAAGGTAA